AACAGCATCATCAGCAATCATTATCTACCATGACCATTCAATTTCCTAACGACCTGAAGTGGGCACACATGCTTAGTCAGCAGGCAAACGTTACGGCTATAGTTGCTCCTTTTCAAACTAGCAACTCAACATCAAGCCATGGGCTCAGCGAGAGCAGTGGTATCGGGGCGGTACCTATGCCTCAACCAATACCAACACTTGCGGATCGCCTTGAGACCTATCGACATTTGACAGCTGGTCGCTTGCACAGCTCGATGGGTGGTGCATCTTTGGCGGCCAATACTATTGTCTCCAAAAATCCACGGGCCGTAAACTATTCTACTAGTTTGGTGGAGCGTACCCGAGACCTTCGCGACTGGCTGCGTCAGGCCAAAACCGAACATGAGTTTCTAACCGGAATTCAACACGGAATCACAGAGAAAACAAAAATATCTGGTATTAGCGAAGTAAATGATTCAAGTGATTATAATGCAATCGGCGCATCTCTTAATAGTGAAGCTGCAATAGGGCGAAGCTCTGCAAGTGGGCAAACACTTTTAAAAAAAAAGCCAATGGAGCACTCTGATCATAATATATAATTTAGTAAGTAGAAAAATATACAACTACAACAAAATTCAAACTAGCCTGTTTGCCCGTTCTATCCTGTATTTTGTATAAGCCGATCGTTAGCACAATTAAAAAGAATTTCTTTTCAAAAATTAAACCATCAGACTTCTGCTATTTTAATAATTCTTCATTATTTACATCCTATTATAGGGTTTTAGGATATTTATCATGTGTCTTCAACGCACTCAAGGAAGCAATTAAATTTTGAATTCAGTATTAAAATCTAAAGCCGAAATGACCTGTTTTATAAATAGGGTATATTTTATAGCAGTGACTACCCCACACACCCTCTAGCAGCTTTGTTTAGTTTTTGCTCATTTTCTCTCGCTCGCACACTCTGCCTCGTGCAGTGTACGGGTCTGGCGGATGGGGGCGAGCTTAAAGGGCGTGTGGGTGTGAGAAGTGATGTAGATGACAGAATATATATATTATATTTAAAATTTAATAAATATAAAATTCGAAATAATCATGAGGTTACACACATAAACACATACATACATGTGTATGTATTTCCGACTGTATAAACTGACTGAGTAACTGACTGACGGGTATACAATTTGTGACGCATACGAACACGCCTCACAATGTTCCTCCTCGTTTTTTCTTTTGTTTTATTTAGTTCAGGGGTGAGCTAGTTGTTTTGTGAATAACTTAAGCTGGATGTAAGCGATGCATCGGCTCCATGGCAGCATACATATGTACTTGTGACGTTTACAATCTCATTTCACATATACATAAAATCAAACTGATATTGATATTTTCGCTGGTGTCATTTGCTTTGAGTTTCTGAGTTATGTATGACTGTCCCTTTTTGCCAAATACTTTCCAAATACGAATCAAGGGCAGACAGAAACGCTCATGTAGAAATCTATATATACATATATGTTTGCCAAACCCCTCTTTCATATATCGAATACTAATGAAATTATAAATTGATCTCCAACAAAAATTAAAGCATAAAAATATATAAAAAACATAGTTATTCTCAAATAATAATTGTTACTCCGAACGATGTCATTTCGAAGCATGAATTGAATTTTCCAATGGACTTCAGGAAGACGTTTGATTCTGGGTCCGCACTGGTTGCACTTTTCCTGGTGCACATAAACCTAGACTAAAAGTTAAGCAAGTCAAGTGTAAACAAGAAACGAGAATAAAATATCGTAAAGTAAAAAGCAATGTGCATATAAGTGTTCTTATTTAAAAAAGGCAAATAAAGTCACGTCAGAGTCACTCAGGTCTCTCAATAAGGACACGGCCCTATCGATCCAAGGCCGACATTATTTTCCTACCCTGAGCAGCCTAAAATATAACCCTCACAATACTTTCAAGGGGGGCTCTCTACTACTATAATATCAATGTTGATTTCCTCTTCTTCGCTCTGGTCACTCCCACTGACAGCACAGAAATAATCAACCTTTTGTACTCTCAAAGTTCGTACATTAAGCACTTATTCCACGGTATGGAGCTTATACGCCTTTGGGTTTGGCACAGTTCCGGAAAATGTCGACAATGTTAGCCACCGAAGGTCCGGCTGCCACACGACCTTGACGGATGAAGCGGCGTTCCGGCTGATTATATGTCCTCTCGCTTGCTGTATCATTGAGCTTAGCGATCGCATGGCGACTGCCCTGTGTTTAGGAATTGGATCATTCCAAAGAGCTTTACGAAAGGACACGGATTGGAAAATGCTTTCTTGGCGTGGTTTTCTGTGGCACCCTTGATTAAGTCGTTTTGTGTACACAGAGCCAGACGACCTTTGACTACATTTTCAATTTGAATTTTATTTGCTTTTCCTAGTGCGACAAGAAAGATTCTTATAAATTACATTACAATTTCAAAACTGCAAACCTTCTTTTAATATAAAATACATTATTATATGGATAACGATAGGATTTCCCCAAAAAAAGAAACATAAAATATGTATAAACACACATTTTTTAATTGGTTTATATTGCATGATGATGAATTTTTTATTTTGTGTATACTTTATATGTGGATGTTATTAAGCCCAATAAACTTTTTTTTAGCTAGATAATTAATGCAATTCTTACAATCGGTATATAGCAACGCTGTAAATCAAAGGAAAGCAACATCGTAGTTCTTGAGAGTTTATACGACGACCCACTCGAAAGGACAGAAGAATTTCGATTCCATTTTCAAAAAAATTGATTGTTGATAGTTTTTGGTTGACTAAATGTCATCTATATCGATTTCATCACCCTCCTCATCGTCTTGGACTTTCTTACTAACGGCAACACCACGTTCCAAGGCTACGGCAACCTTCAATGGTTCAATGCGGGCCCGATCATCGTACTCAATCTCTACATCAGAGTCCCCAGCAGCATCGTCATCGTCCCCAGAGGAGGAATCTTCTTCCTCGGCATCTTTGAGCCACTGCACAAACGGCTTTACCTTCTCATGTATCTCGGTGGCAATTTTCTTGGAAACATGTCGTTTGCTCACTTTCTGTGCCCAGTCCAGAATGACCTTTTCATCGAGAATATCCAAGTCGTAAAAGATTTTGAAGATCCCAGCTACCTTAGTCATAAGCGTGTTCGAATGTAGCTCGACAGTCTGCTCGATGCCGCCAATCAAATAGCGCTGTGCTTTAGGATTATTATGAGTAAAGCGAAGTAACAAGATGCGGTTTTTGCGAACGTCATTAATAATGTTCTCAGTAAATAAAAGCTCAGCGAGAACCAACGGGGATTTGTTAACTATGTCCAATCGTTCGGCTTCGATCAGCAGTTCTTTGTGTACAGCAACATCCTCCAGCTGTCTTTTGTCACGCTTGCTTTTCACCAATTCATAGAAGATGTCAATCCGTTCCTTTTCGGTCTTGTCGTAATCCTCCGAAATTGTCATGCCCTTAGCACCATCAGTTAGATCTTGTAAGCGCGCCCGAATGGCCTCCTACATGGGTACATAAATTATGATACATGAATTCTTAATTGGTCGCATTAGCTTGGCTAGAAGCAATAAATATTTATTACCTTAGACACGTCGACGCTCCAGCCATCATCATCGTCCTCAGCTATATTTTTTTCCGGAATGGCAGCGCTTATTTCAGCCTCTGTTTGGCTGGCCTGGTTGGGACCATTGCCGCCGTCCGACTCTCCGCCAGAGTTATTGGCCATTGAGTTGTTACACATTGAGCCGTCAGAGTTTTCATTCTTCTGTTTCTGTTTCTTTGAGCGTTTCCCCTCAGTAAGCGAGGAACCCTGAGCGGCTGGATTAAGTGATGGTGGATTTTTCACAATAAATGTGTTCACTTTGTGGTTCACCTTAAGCAGACCATGGAAGCCGCAAGCCTTGCATGACTGCGATATTGTCTGATTCTTAGCTGATACAGTCAGATTAGTCTCAGGGTTATCGCATTCGGGGCACAAAACAAACTTTCGAATGAAGCCATCCAACAGATCCTGAAGCTTGTTCACGTCATGCGATCCATTCACAATAAACCGTTCATTCTATAAATTAAAATTGATTATTAGTCATATTCAGTTAGAATACAATCCGCCAAAAAAGCTAAGTAATGTATTAGTACTTCAACTCTAACATCTTTCAAACAAAATAACGAACGTTGCGAGTGGCGTTCAAATGCGTCTCAATATAATTTGAATAATTGTTTGCTCACCTTATGATCAAAAAGAGTTTGGGCGCCCAACTCACAGCCAAAGTACTTTGTAGGATAGGTGGCCGGTCGTCCAATGGCGCGTGCGACTTCAGCCATATTAACCAAAACGGTCTTGATGCCATTGCCCTTTCCTTCTACCTTTGCTTGAAGACGCGGCATTTTATACCGATAGAAAATGTCCGTCACACTACGGTTAACGTTAACTGTAGCCATCTTGGAAATTGTTCGACGCAAATATTATAAATGATGATCCCGTTGCCAAAATACTTCACTGGGTAGTACCCGTTTTTTTAAGCTTATGCGTTACTATATTGCGCACCGCGAAGGCAATATGTTGGCTTTTGCTTCTTTGACTGTGACTGTGGTGCAGTGATTTCCTTGAAATTCGTTTTCCTTTAAATAACTTGCATTTCCTTGTTTAATTTACGTGAACGTAAATAGGACTTTGAGATCTTAAAAGTCCTTGACCCATTAAGCTATCTGTGCCGTTTCTTGTGGTGATGTATTTTCTTTTGATTTTCAACGACTCCAAACGGAACATGAAGTACTAGAGAGCTAACGCTTCACTTGATATTAAATTGGAGATTAAGAATCAGCTTGTTGCACCAGCAATGATTTTGGGATGCGTATATTGTGGTTTTAATATTACGTTATTTGTAATTGCGGTATATTTTCGTATTACGACTATATATATATATACTATAATAATTATTGTATATATATATATATCGATTTATTGATTTTATATTTTTTTTTTTTGTTAAATTGAATTGGTGTTTTGAAATTTGTATACTAATCAGAAGTCTTTTGCAGCGGCACGGTATTCGGCTCACGTGTACCTGAACGGCTGTAGCTTCCGATGTCTGTTACTTGAAGTCCTGTAGAGACAAAGAATCAGATCAGAACGGTTTGTTAGCTTGATCATAAAAGCAGTTTTTGGACGACCGGGAACTTTGTGCGGCCCTTGCGCGTCTCTCATTTTATACCCACACGAGGAAGAAAGCGTAAGCGCGAGAGAGAGAATGAGTAAGAGAATGGGGGCTGGGCACTGAAAATTTGGTTTGTTTATTCTGGCTATAGCAATGATCCGATCAGATCCAGATGTAGGAATTCATTCATCGGACTTCTAGTATCTTAAAAATGTGGTATGCCACAAACAGCGAAATTTTCTGTCGAACAAAAGACAGGGATGATTTCTTATCGCTTTCATTGGAATGTTATTCCTGATTCGGTCGACAGAAACTTTAGCTCATCTGAGTACTGGGCTTGACCCATGAAAATGGGGTTCATGGTTTTCTGGTTGGTATGTGGATCTTTAAGTCAAGAATGATTCGAGCAGCTTAGTACAACTTTCATTGATGAAGCACTATGCATTGCCAATGTAAAAACATGGTTTCACGAATTCAATCGTGGAAAAATTATTGAACTAGATGGTCTTGTTGTATGCCGTGAGAGTGAGGCATCTTTGGGCATTAGGACGGCGTCCATTAATTGGGGTTTTCATGAGAAAAGTAGTAGAGCTTTATAGTAGATGTTGCAACTAAAAATACTCTCTGCTTCGATCTATATCAGTGGTCGACACGCATACATTCTCGTTTAGATTTTTTCGTATGTATGTTCTTGTGCCAACCACTGTAATCCACGTGTACATCCACAAACATGTGTGCTTTCTTTGTAGAAATACAGAAGATGTTTACTTACCGATGACTTATAGTTCCCCTCTGGGTTTTCATACACAGCTCGAAGCTCTTACTCCGCTTTTGTAGAATTGGAGGAGCGTTTTTTTTCGCAGGTTTTTCTAAAAATAAAAATAATACAAAATTAAAAAGGTAAGGCAAATTATTGACAACCGAATTGAAGGCAGAACTCAAATCGAGGTAAACTTATATTTACTATTGAATAAGTGTAGATACGACATAGGGCTTAAAGTGCCTTTTGTTCTTCTCCAATAGCGCCTGGCTAAAGCGCTGCAAGCGCTCTCGTTTAGTGTGAATCAATTTTGAACCGAAATTTGAACTTAATTAATTTGATTGTTGGCACATTGTTGGGGATTGTTTGGGAAATGTTTGTCAAATGCATGACAGAAAACAGGGGGTATTATGAGAGTTTATATTTAGTGCAAAATATGAGGTTGAAAATTTGTGGCATCCCTAATTTTTAAGACACGAAAGCCCCGAAAACACACTTCCTTGCACTGTAGGCATGTACTTGCGGATAAGAGCAAGCTAATACCACTGTTGGGCTAAGCAGAAAAATATGAAGAAATAAACCATAAGATTCTATTTTATTTTAACTCGAACTCGAATTTTAACTTTCGCTTTCGCATGCAGATGACGTGGTATTTTAGCTAGTCTTTAACGTAAGAAACACATAAGTGTAGTTGCTTTTAAAACAAAATCACAATTTTTGACATTCTTCGATTGATCAATGATTTGGTATGGGCTTGTCTACTTACCACTTAATCGTTCAAAAGTCATATAAGATATTGTCTTTCCCCTCCTTGGGGTGCGGAATGCCAGCTCACGAATAAAAACCGTAAGTAATTGAGCTTTGTTTTCCTTTATAAAGTCACTTGCAGGATGACTTGATATACATAAGTACAATGAATGGCAATCCAATCGTACCTATTTAATGCTTCTGTTTGATATATTCAAAATGGTGATTTACGACGGAGTGCTCTGAAGAATTTAATTTGTGTTATTAATTCAGAGTTTAAGAAATTTAAAATAGAAACCCTGGAAACGCTTTTACCTAAATTAATTTTTAGTTGGTTCTTCAAAAACCTGTAAAAAAGACGAAACAAAATGGTCTGTTAAATACTGTACTAATACTAAATTTATTGAATATAAAAACACCAAAAAAAAAAACACCCTTTCCTATCGAGACTGCTAGCATAATGCATTTTAAAAGTTTTGGCTCTTTTGGCTGGTTTCTTCAAAGTTGTCATGAGTGGGCGAGAGGGGACGTGGCGAAATTTTTAAACAAACTTCTGTGTGATATGACATGAGTCTCAGAATGGCTCTATTTAAATTCACACTAAACGAAACTAACAAAACTATTTAATGCTGACAGGCACATTCACATAATTTTAGTCCGCGAAAGTTGAGTAACCGATCTTAAGAGCAGGATTAGATTAAATGGTATAGAAAACACTCCAAAAATGTTATTCTGCTAATTCGCAGCTAAGAGAACACGTAGAAAAATACAATGAACTTTACAGCTGGAGCTGGTGCAACAGAAAGATAACTGGTCAAGCTATCCAAATAAAACTATAAAAAAACGATGCGTTTTTGAAAAATGCCAATAATGATATAATGATTCGCCGCAAGTGTTCTTGATTGGATCCTTCTTCCGAGCTTTTCCGCTGGAATCTTGGATAAACAACGCAGATATGAAAATAAAGCTCCTTGAATTATTTTTGTCCATATTTCGATTAACTGTGTGTCGAGAAGAGGGTCCTTATAACTAAACTTAGAGAGAAAACCTATTCAATGGAGCCTGGTCAGAGACTAAGCATAGGGGAAAAGAGAATAAAAGCCCATCCGTCTGCACCTTCATAGAGGTATGTAGCTCTTTGGCCTTAAACGTCCCATCCTTCTTTTGCAGAAGAAATATACATATTTACATATGTACCACTATGTAAAGATGACTTCAATGGGGGCTATACCAATTTGTCATGCACCAGACACCAGTATCAAACATTAATACATGCACTCTTAAGAACATAAGTGTACATTTGAAAGTTCACCTTTTTACCAATAATTGCGATATTCTTAACGTGCAAAATATATAAAAGACACTTATGAATACAAAAAGTCAGCCTCAAATAGCGAAACAGATACTTGTATTAGTAAGTTTTTCACACATATGCTCATATATTTGTATGTATTTTTTCGAAGGAACAAATCTTTTCCATATAACAGTATACTTCACTTCCCAGTTTTTATATTAAGAACAAAACAAATTTAGAACAAAAAATCACGGAAATCACTTATGCACACTATATATGAATATGTGTATGTGCAAAAATTTGTGTAAAAGCCACGCCATATTTTGAGGTTGTGTTTAATTTGAATTTATATGCTCAATTTGTACCTTCTTTACTTTGTATTTTTTTTTCAACTTATCATTCAACGTGGGCAAAGCACATCAAATTACTTGCATGAACTTAATTGATTTAGGCGTATATTTACATAAAATAGCAAAACGTACGAATTTTTCCCTTTGTTCAGTATGACCGCAGTGTAGAAATAAATGTTATATTTTTTTATTTTGACAAGTCAAAATAGATGAGGTATTCACGTTTTAACCTTGCAATTTATCTTTCAATTATCAAACAATTTCAATATATCTCTCATGATAGGGTGTGGATTAAACATGTAATTATGTTACGTAGAATCATATTTCCATTTAATTCTGCTGCTTTATTTGTATTTCAATTAATTAAAAGCCAACTAATATAGGTTTATGTGAAAACCTATTAATATAAGAAAAAGTGAACTTTTTCGGTATTTTTAGTATATTTGTCTTCAAGTTTATACTATTTTACTATTATCTCCTATAAGAAAGGTGATTCTTGAGAAAAGTTCTTCCACAAAGGCTTTCTAACATATTAAACTATCAAAAAATATTCGAGATAAATGGCTCAATCTCCACGAAAACCAAGGAATGTGCGACAGATGCTTCAATTTAATTTAAAAACAGTACGAATCATATTTTTGTACAATTTTAGCAACTTTTTAGAGAAATCCATGGACCAGACTTATCTGAAACTCGCATTATTGTATTGCAACCACTATCGCTAAACACTGAGATTCCTTATTTCACTTTTGTATTTGTTCGGTTCGAATGGCTTTGTTATTTTTTTGCAAAAATCTAGAAAACGAATGGTTGCCCAAAATCGACGTCATCATCAGTTATAGATTTCGGTCAGTAATGTTTCTAATGGTAACATAATTTTGAAAATCCGTCTTATTTTGAGAAGTGCGTTAAGTGAGTTTTCCACGAAACGCAATAACTGAATAACTCAGCCCTAGTGTAAATTGGCCATACTTTGTATTTTTAAACAACCACAAAGCAGTGTTACCGTAGAGCAAAGTACCAAAATCACACTGGAAACAAAGCAATATGTAAGAAATTTTTGTCTAGCGCATCAGAGCAGTGGGCTTATATGTTAAATAGTTAAATAACAACCAGTGTATTTTCTTTAGTGAATTTTATTATTCGCAGTCAAATTGCTGTAGAACTGCATTCGTACAAATCTATTAACAGCATGACCGAGGAGGATGTTATTCAAGCGACGATAATCAAGGGAAAATTCAAGGGAGAGATTGTCCTTATCTCATGAATCCCGATTTTTTCAACTGATCTAGCATTCCCAATTCAAGAGGAATGGAATGGACTTCCATTAGTTGGAAGTCGTTGGAAGGCTGTTGTTTCTTTATTCGACAGAAAAAAAATCGAAAAAATATTCTTTCTCATTTCTCTCTCAACTGATTTCGATTCCATTTAAATAAATCAAATTGATATAAGAACTATCTGTGTTTTAGAATCTCTCTGCAATTTATCTAGAGACGAATTTGGGGCGCCTTTTGCATTTTAAATCCGCTGCCTAAAAAAGTCGAACCTACCAAAATAATATTTGGTTTAATTTGTTGTTAATATTCTCATTTCCAATTTTAGTTCTATTCTGAAATGTGGAGAATCACAATGACAAGGTTCTAATGGAAAATACCTAAAAATATAAAAAATTTGTTTGGTTTGTGTTATAACGATTGGTAATGTTTATTTTCTATTAAGCAACCTTTTTACAAGTTATAAAAGGTCGTTTTTGCTTTCGACGATTGAATAATAAACAATTTAATTTAGTGATAGGCAATGTAAATAATATTTAAATACGTTCAGAGTTCCTTTTGCAAAATACTACTTGGCTTCGAAATTCTTCGGCTAGCAAAAGCCTTTAAGTATTTAACTTTTCGTTGGTTTCTTTATAATTAAAAATATGTATTCAGTTTACAATAACATTTTTTTTCTAATTGGCGGAACAGTGCCTACAGAACAGTACAATAGGTATTTTAAAGGTGGTTAGACAAAAACGAGAAGGGACGTGTGAGACGCTTCTTACGCGTCACAACTTTTATACCCGGCACTCAGTACTACATCTGTAGCTTAGCGGTTATTTGTCAAATTTTACATATTTTCTTCATCTGTCATCTACATCAACAACACTACTCACTCCAACACGCTCCTTTAGCTCGCCACCCTCCCCCCCTAGAGTCACACACTGCAAAATCAGAGCAGAGAAGCGGCAGAGGCAGAGACGTGGTAGAGGCAGCGACGCGGCACTGCGCGAAGCAGAGTGTGAATGAGAGAATGTGCAAAAAACAAATATAAGCTGCGGGACGGGGTGGGCTTAGATACTGGAAATTAATTCATTTCTTCATTGTGGCTATAATAATGATCCAATCGGATTCCAATTTGGTGATCTGATAGATATGGTCATTCCCTACGGAAATGCGTTTTTAGTTTTCTTTTATCATCAAAACTGTAGGTTTGGGAGGTTTTCGCGCTTTTTTTGGGGGCGGAAGGAGGCGTGGCTAATTTTTGAAATACACTGGTTGGAGCATATTGCAGTCTGGATGCAAAATTTGGTGGCTCCTAGCTTTTCTAGTCTTTTAGAACTAGCCGACACACAAGACGGACGGACGGACAGACGGACAGACAGACTTGTCTCTATCGTCTCGTCTGTTGATGCTGATCAAGAATATATATATTCTGTGCGTTACATACAACCGTTATTCGCACAAATACAATATACCCTATTTACTCTTCGAGTACCGGGTATAACAAATGTTTTATTTTGTTAAACGCTATAGCCTCTATGATTCTTCGTAAGATGTTAACTGACTTTATTTTTTATTAGACAGTTGTAATAGACAAGTTGGAAATAAATAGCATCTAATTTGTTTGGTAATTTGAATAGGGCTTGGAAATTCTGATGAGCGAAATATTCAATATCAGGATACAAATGATGTGTGTTCTTGTTGTTGATGTCGTAATTATGCACAGGAGCTCAAATAACATTATTCAATTACTTTAAATCGTGCAATTAAAGGATACAGACAAAAATTATATGATTATGAGATAAAATACAATACCACAGTGAGAGGAGTTCAAACGCAAAGCCAACTGAAAACCCTCAACCAATGTCGAAGAGGCCTAAACAGAGGACCAACTTAAGCGATATGCCCAGGAGAAACCTCATTGCGTCACTGATCGATTAAAGCGACGAGAAGTGTCGAGATAACAACTCGTGGAATCATTCTGAACGGTCTCATGGCCCTTTATCGTGCTGGATGGTTGAACGGGGCTAAGATTGTCAAATGCAACGAGGAAGTTTGTCAAAAAGTGCCCCAATTGGAAGACTCTCGTCTCGATCGCAATGCAGTGACCGGATTAAATTCGTCAAACTTTCACCTATTCTACTCACCATCGGTAAGCAGGAACAGAACAGCCGCAATCCTGTTAAAGAGGTTATTCACACTTACCTCATTAGTAGCTTACCGGAATAGGTAAAGAGTCTGGGGGCTGAACCCAGCCCAGACTCTTGTTGGTACGGACGCCAACACCCACCATAACGTGTGTGAAAGCCCCAATACGACAGAGGTGAGTCTACTATCTGAGAGAGAGAGAAACCAAATACTACTGAGTAGCGTAGCATTCTTCAACGCTGCAATATTTGAAGATTCGGCAGGAATCATTAAAGTCACGTTCCCTGCTCGTTAACCATTGAAATAGATAGCGTAGAGCTCCGTAAATATTTATTAATCTTAGCCTTGGATTAGATGTTTCTTTTTCCAAAAAAATAATGCTCAATGAGCACTCGAAATCACTTTTTAAATTATGTATGTCTTCAAATGCCAAAGTGACAATGCTAAACCGCTTTCCAAAATAACCAGCGTTGATAGCAGCAATTAGCCGATTGAAAACACTTATGGTTAGAAATTTGTTATTTTGGTAAGGACGAGTGTTCCAGTCCACCCTCGAAAACGGTTACGAAAAACCGAGACCGAAGCGAATTTAAATACATGCTGAAGTCCAGGGGGTTCGCTCTATCACTGAATCAATAAATCAAATAAATAATAGTGAGAAAACATTTTTTTTCGTACATGCATACATATATTGTGGATTATTGCTGACAGTCTGTAATTTTTCATTACTGCCACTGTGAAGGTCTGGTTGTAGTGAATTTCTCTAGTTATGTGTAATTATAAGTATATGTTTATTATATGAACTATATACGTATGGTATATATTTAAATATAAAACAGATATAAATAAGAATGTACGTGTATAAATATATTCGTATGTGTATGGCTCAACAAGACCCGGACAGTAAAACTAGTTTCAACAACATTGTTAAGTTTAGGAAAGGTAAAGCTTTTCAACGAATTGTGTCAAAGTTTAACTGATATTTTATAAACTTGACATGCCGAATAAAGTCGTGGTAATATGGGCACTGAGCGCTCCAGTTGAACAAATGTAACAGTTTCCGAAATAAAGTATATGTAGAAACAGATAAAACAAAGAAAGACTGTTTAAAATCTAAGGAAAACAAAGTAAAGTGACTGCATTGACCGGTGATCTATTGAAATATATTTTGAAGTATGTATGTAAGTATATCAATGTTAATTTACACTACACACATAAATACATTAAATGTAAAAATATATGTTTATACATACATACAACATAAGTACATATAAACATATACGTATTTATCTATATATATTCTTTAGAACCTTAGAATTTGTATGACTCTAGAATGTTACTATTAAATATATATATGTAGAATATATGTAACATATATACATATATATTTTTTGAATATAATTAGTTCATCGATATTTATATGTAAATTTGAAACAATTAATACAATTTTAGTGTTTAAAAATTTAAATAACATTTAATCTTCCTTGGAAAGACTTCCCAAATCACTGAGAAAGATTTCAGGAGAGAGAACGTGCGAGGATCCGACCAGCACTTCCCAGTTACGTACAGAGTTGGTAACTTCATAGGCGCACCTCATTTCAGACATACTCACGCCACCCACAATGAATACAATCAGCCTGGGAACGTTTTTTACTTGCGCCTGAGCCTTGTCCTTGTGCCAATGACCATAACGAGCGCTAGTTGGAGCATGATAGTTCGTATTTTGTGCCCGACCTTCAAGAAAGGGGAAATGGCGTTGATCTAGCTTATCCTCAATGCAATCCTCCATTATGTCTTTGATTACGGGCGTCCAGCGAGACATCTGATAAGTGCTTTCGGTTATACGTTCTTTACGCGGTACAGAATATATCTTTTTACGAGACTAAAATAGAAAACTGTTAGTATTTTTCATCTGTATTATAGAATACAATACCCACATCAGCAATGACATTGATTCCCAGGTAGCTTAAATTGCGAACCATATCCTGATCTTTAACAGACAACTGAGCATGAGTGAAGAGTTTTGTCAAGTTTTCCTCCGAAATACCATTTTTGATCATTACATAAAGGGCAATTATTCGAACTTTATCGTAGTTAGAAACATTCTAAAAAGAGGTGGTTCAGATACATCAGAATCAATTACTTATTAAAAGAAATGCAATAGCACCTTACCGCATCTAACAATATAGGCACAATATTCCGCATATGGTCCTTAATTTTTTCGCCCTCGGCATCAGTACCCATCGCTAAATCTTGTTCCACACGGCAGAGCTTGTCCACGTAGTTTTGATACGATTTCATGCAGTCCTCGGCCAAATGCAAGTGGGTGGAGTACTTGGACAGCTCCTTTTGATACTGCGGCATCTTCTTGATCATTTGCGATAAATCCCGCATTGAGGACTTATCAGCTGTTTACAAGAAACGATAGGGAACGTTGTAAATCGCTGCAGTTACTGGTCAACATTTTGAAATACACTTGTAACGGTCTGATATCACAGGAGACTGGATACACATTTGTAATGCCTCAGTTCTTATAGAATCTAAGAGCATAAACTTGAAACAAATATATTCCTAAACTTATCGAGTGTAAGGTATAATAAAAATACCTTTAGCATGATTAATGATCAATAGTGGGACCTAAGACTTACTGGAACTCATACGCTTGGAGTCGGTAAACTTCTTCAAGTTCTGCGTAACCTGTGTTGACACGACTGCAATGTGCTCATGGCGCAACTCCACCCACAAGTCGTCGTTTTCATCCAGTAAAACCTCCTTCTCAGGTTGGTTGGGTCCTGGAGTGTAGCGGTACACATCGTTAACAATTGGTAGTAAATCATAGGCCATTGCCTGAAGTGTGAGTTCATGTAAAAGTGGTGAAACACAATCGAAGCCACGATCTAAAATAAGCAGTTGTGAACGTGCTTTTTCAGGTCCTTCGCCCATGGTTGGCTCGTCTGCCTTGTAGGCATCCAGCTTTTGCTGAATAGAAGCAGCCAGATCGATATTTCGATCCCAGTCGCTACGGTAGCGAACGTTGGGATATTCGCCCAAAGTTGCGCACAGGGTGGCAATTTGCTCGGCAATGCGCTCGATGTGCTTGCTTCGAATTGACGCAAATACCGGAGAGTATAAGCACTGGAACGTGTCCGGCGAGTCCAGCGAAAATACCTAAATATGGAGTACAGTTTCATTATTGAGAGAATATTTTTAAAGTAAATCTTTATGTAATTATGCATGTATAAGTAACGAATTGTGTTTTATATCCAGCTTGAACGGTTAAACCAACGATTTTGTTTCATTTATATGTGTATATTTAAAATATATACGTAAAACCCTCAATGAATCCACTGTAAACTAATTTTTTTGGCATAGTAGATCCGAGTCCTGCCGACGACAGCATGTAAATTAATATTTTTATGTTAGAAAGAACGAGAAAGATTAAATAAAGTAGCGTGATTTTTGATTGCTTGGTTTCTTAAATATATACCACGCACATAAGTATATTTTTCTTCATATTTCACCTAATAGCACTTGTCAACAATATTAAACCGCTGTCAACCAAACCGACGGCTTATTTATGTACCTATTTATAACCAGAAGTTGTAACCAGAAGCTGCCTAAGCACCGTCACTACGTTCATACCCGGTACTCAGGCGGTATCTTCAAAATGTGGATGCCACAAATACCCGTCGATTGTGTATGCGGAGGGGGCGAGGCAAAATTTTGAAAACAACTGCAAGCAGTGTGATTATTACAGAAGTCTGGATGCTAGGCTAGGTTGCTCCAGCTTTTTTCTAAATGTTAGGATTGTCGTTAGGATAGTCGTTATAATACAAAAACGATTAGGAACGCTGTGGGTCGCTGCCTAAGCACCGTCACTACGTTCATACCCGGTACTCAGGCGGTATCTTCAAAATGTGGATGCCACAAATACCCGTCGATTGTGTATGCGGAGGGGGCGAGGCAAAATTTTGAAAACAACTGCAAGCAGTGTGATTATTACAGAAGTCTGGATGCTATTCTAGGTTGCTCCAGCTTTTTTCTAAATGTTTTCATAAGGGACAGTCGTACGCATTGCAAGTTGTAGAAAGGCAAAAATACAGATTTTCCTGCTAAGGTCGATTTTGGGCAAATGTTCTCGAGATTTTTGCAAAAAAAACTCAGATCAAACTCAGATTTCAGCTAAAGTTGAGGCAATATATGAATTTTTAATAATTATTGTCCATGACCACTGGCGGCAACGACTTGATTTATTTTTGCATATTGTTGCTGTTGGACCAAGTATGTCAGCTAAGGAAATGTTTCTTCGATACCAGAACTAGGTTAAAACTAGCGTTCTATTTAAGAACGCATTATAGCTCAGCGACTGGTTACCGGCAACTTCCGTAATTTTCAGATTACGACAACACGAATGTAAAAGATGTCTCCATTTCGTAATTTTGCTGATCATTACAAAATTACGAATAAACCGAATATATTTGAGTGAACCAGGGAATATGTGAAGGGTGAAACTGAGTTTATATATTTTGATCGTGCTTTCTTATTCGAATTAATTAATTTTGTTGAATTTTTGGTTTATTTTTGCGATTTGTTTGCATACAAGTAAAACACATTAAATTGAACACTACAAAACAAGTTTAACAAAACTTAAGGAGATTTTTTTGTAGAGGCTTGAGGGTTCAAATTGTCCAGAGCAGGACCGCTCAAGGTAACTTGGGGATTAAAACGTATGTTTTGCAACATATGTTCGACACGAAGCCATATGACCGAGTCGTCCACATTGTACTTATGAACAGTTATTGGATTAATTTAATTTCTTGTTAAGTTGTGCCATGAAGTAGCATTAGAAATCTCACTTTTTGACTTTGTAAAGAGAAAAGTAAAGCGAACAACTTTGTTCTTAGGATCATCAGTGTGATGAGATTAATTAATTAGACACTTTACACAAAAATGTCGCTTGGTTTAATTCAGCTTGATATAAATTATTAAACCCATTAAATTAGTGTTAGTTTTAAGCGCACCTGGCATTCGTAAGGTAGAAATGCAATATTAATCTCCTTTAGAGTTT